ATGAAGGTAAGTATCTTTCCAAACCCTTAAACCTTTAAAGACTTTCCTTAGAGTTACTGGAAAAGGGTTTGTAGAAACAGGATGTGTCGTTTTTCCTTTCACTTCCTTTGAAGTTACGACAAAGGTGTGCTTCTTCCTCAGATTTAAATTATTTCTATAAAAATAAAGGCACCTATGGTTCACCATTTTGTGTGTCTCAGACTCCCAGCCCTGTGAGATAAGAGAAGTCCCTTTCCATGTACAAATGCACCATTTCTTCATCTGCACAACAGACACGAAGATAATACAAGTAGGTTATTTCCTCAGTTCATCTGAAGGGAAAGTGGATGAAAAAGCCATGAAAGTCATGGAAGACTGTGAGAATTTGATATTGATTGCAGTTGTAGTGGTGTGATCAGGTGGGTAAGTGCCAAGAAACCTCACCTTTTTCATGCTCTCTCCTCTGAACTGTATACTAAGCTGGATTTCCCTCTACCCCCATCTCCAAGATAGCAGGTTTGCTATTTGTGCATGCATCTTCAAGGGCCCTTGACTGCCAGGAAGATTGATGACCTTTGTTTTTCTGTAGCTCTGGAACAGGGAATACACATCACCTTATTCCAGTCTGTGTCTTCGTATGAAGAATCTTCAATAACCTGCCTGCGAATCTGCAAAAACCACTACAGATTGTTCTGATGTGAGAGGTGTGTCCCATTACACAGCATCTGCTTCATCCTTGGCTTGACACTTGCCCAGGGAAAGAGGGAGGGAAAGCACAGTTCACTACTGTTGCTTTGGAGAAGACAAAGAAGAGGGAACTCATGTTCACTCAGTGGAATTCTCCACCTGAAGCCATTCCTCATAAAAGGAAGAATCATTTCTGTTAGCAGTGACTGCTCTTCTCCTTACTTTGCCTCAGTTAAAAACTACAAAACATGCTCTTGGTGGAGGCTGCAAGAGCTGTGCCACTTGTTATAGTCTTGAATGTTACTGGGCTGAGACAGTGCACCATCATCCATCCCACCCCAGGGGTCTGGAGACTGGGTCAGCCTGACACCATTCACGCCAGTTCTGGAAACTGAGCACTTTCCAAGTGCTGGGAGCTGCTGTAGGTACAACATCCTCATCTGAGGGCTGATGCTGGCACCTCACACCTGCTTCATAAGCAGAGTGATAACTTGTTTAGAGAGCTGGGAAGGGAAATGGGGAGAGTGTATCTGATGAACCAGCCACCATTCCCTTTGTGCACTGGGAGATCATGAATACATCCCACCTAGATGCAAGTTATCAAAGAAATCATAAAAGTCATCAAATAGTTTGGGTTGGAAGGGACCTTCAAAATCATCCAGTTGCAAAGCCCCTGCTCTGGGCAGGGGGGCCACCGACTACATCAGGTGGGTCCATGCTCAGGGCCCCATCCAACCAGACCTTGGACACTTCCAGGGAAGTTAGTACAACCCTACGAGTTAATCAAAACAAATCACTGGTGGGAGCAGCTTTTATCTCATGTTCCCCAATACCTCAGGCCATGTGGGCTGACAGGCCTATTCAGTGGCACGTTTTTCTCAAGAAGGAGCTGAAGAAATGGATGTAAGGCCTAATCACTGTGACTTTTAGTTGTGGGAAACCAACAAATCCAGCTACCAAGTGGAACACTTCTCCACAACCCATAAATTGACAGGAGGACTTCTGCTGGCCCAGTTCCCTTGGGACTGCCCCACTGCCACCTGTCCTAGAGCTTGTAGTTCCAGCAACAACAGGACCTTTTGGGCTGCCTGATGCTCTGGTGGGTTGGGGTGTAGTTTCCCGGCAAGGACTGCCATGGCAGCAGGATGTGGCTGTCACGGCCCTGCAAACCCTCGTGCCCACGTGCAATGAGGGCTGGCAGCTCCCTCAGGCCCAGGAGCTGGGAGCTGAATGTGCTGACACCACAGTCTGTCTGTCCCACTGTCCCCATCCAGGGAGCAGGGCAGGCCTGGAGACCCTCGGCAGGTTCAGTCACCCCTGCAGGGTGATCATGGGTCATGTTCACGGTGATGAGACAGGATGAGTTCAGGCTGGGAAGTCATCTTGCAGCTCAGAGTCACGGGCAGGGATGGCCAGGCAGGGCTTATGGAGTGAGCCAGGCAGGGCTGTTGTTCTGCCGGTGGGCTTGGCTCATTTGGGCCGTGGCTGGGCTGGGCAAGACTGGGGGAAGGTGGAAATGGACAACCTGCAGTGCTGCTGGAAGAGGGACTGACAGCTCTGCTTTGGGCTGGAGGTGGATCCTGGGCCGTGGAGGGTGGAAGGGAAGCTCTGGGGGCTGGGTCATGGGCTTGGCAATCATGGATGCAGCGTGGCCAGTAAGGCAGTTAATCAATACTTTTTGTTCCTGAGCTAGGAGAGATCCGTGACAAAGTTAATGGAGAAGGGAAGGATAATAAAATCCTCTAACATTGCATTTTTAGTCTTAGAAAGCAAGGCATTACTTTATTCACAGTGCTGGGGGGGGTGTGTGACTGACAGACTCCCGGCCTTCACACAGACACTGATGCAATCCTTTTTCACCTATTTATACACTTTTAGCAAACAAAGAAATAATGTTCATTGGTTCTAAACTATACAATCCCCTTTCATTAATTAGTCTTCTATGCTCTATTGGTTATTAATTTCTCACTGTTCATGCTAATCAGGTCCATATTTTTAGTATCTTTTTCCCTCGGTAGGGATTTTCCAACATATAGACTGAGTTTTTGTTAGCCTCTCCTTTATCTTCTGGTTTCTGCAGAATGTCCATGTGGTCCATAAATTCTGCACTCCTTGTATCCAATTTCAACAATACATCTAGTTAGTTTATCAAAAGCTAAAGTTTCAGTAATTTTCCCAATTTTCTCACAATGTCAGCTTATGTTAAATTCTGCTGAATGCCAGCTAAAAGTGGCTTAAGGCCTAACACACTACTTATTAACAACTAATTAAAAGGTTAACTAAAACCATTAAAAACCTGGAAAAGTTACATCAATTCCAATAATTCCACATGCACTATTTACCCAGTCCATTGCAGGGAAACCCACGGAGTGAGATCCGGTGGTAATGGAGGGCAGGGGGCATTTCCTGCCTGTGACATGATGTGCTGGGACAGAGTTTTCTTACACTCGGTCCTGCTCTCACTCCTTTAGACTCCAATCCTACCCACAGTTTGGCCATTTCCTTTTTCTACATCTGGCATTAGCTATCTTGCTGCATCCTTAAGCATTCTGTGTCCTTAAGCAGGTTATAGCCTGAAATGAATTCCAGTTGAATGGAAAATGTTATCAGTTTCCATGGAAATGACTTCCCATGTGATCGTGGCTGTACTTCCTGTTGTGCTTAGGGCTAAAACCATTCCATGATCTGTATTTTTTACACTTTCTTGCAGTTCTCCTATAAATACCTATTACTCCTAACTGGTCAGAACATTCAGTCTTCAAGAAATGTGGAATTTTGGTTTTTATACTGTGATCTTATGCCAGACTATTAAACACTTAGGCTAAAGCTGTATTCAGCAGAGATCCTTATACTTCCTTTTTATTATTTTAGGTCTGCAAAGCCAAATTCCTGCGGATAACTATCTGCTGTCAAGGAAATGGGCTGATATCCATGAGTGAAGAAAATCCTGAAGCTGGTCACTTGCCTTTGCTAGTTGGCTGATCCTGAGATAAGAGCTCTGGTGTTCAGGAGGTAAGGGCTGCTGTGCCAGACAGCCCAGCATGGAGAACTACCCAAGTGATCTGTGAGTCCTGGCCCACAGCCCAGGAAGAAGGGAGGGTTATGGTAAAGATATTTTAAGATTTGGGTTTATTTTTCATTATCCCACTCTGATTTGTTTGGTAGAAAATTCAATATGTTTCCCCAAGTTGAACCTGAGTGATCTCCCTGTCCTTGTCTCATCCCACAAGTCTTTGGTCCTGATTTTCTCTCCCTGTCCAGCCAAGGTCAACACACCACAAGCACTGAGTACCAGTGCCTGCATTCCTCACTAAAGTGAGGCACAGACACTCAACAGAGGAAGCATTTGCTCAAATACACTCTTTATTGGCATTTTTGCACTGGGTGAAGCTCCCAGAGAGATTGGACTCTCTCAAAAAGGGCATGCAGTCAGTGTACAGGTTGTAATGGGAGTCTCTGGTTCCAGGCTCTTTGCCATGGACTCTTCAGCTGCCTCGGCTCTGACTTCCAGAGGAAATGTGTTTGCTGTAGAGGAAATGTTCGGCAGAAATTACCACAGCTGATAGAGCACTGTCTTCGCCATGTCCTCCATGCTATGACCTGTGGCACCTGCTCCCCAGGGAGTCAAGGGTGGGTGGATACTCCTCCCAAACAATAGAGAAGGTACAGAGGCCCTGCAGCAGTACCTCTCACTTGGACCCACCACAGCCAGACCATCCATTCCACTGAGAATTGTGCCAGGAGAAGAGCTCCTCAAGCTACAAATATAACCCATCTAAAAGCTTCTGAAGGAAGCCACACTTTTAGTCTTTCAGCGACTTGACCTCCCAGTTAGGTCTATATTTTGTGGGTGCCACCAATTTGGTTGCCTGGGGCCATTATGAGTCGATGAGCTGGACTGGAGATGAAGGGCGGGGCTGGCCTGGCTGTGATGTGATCTGGCTCTTGTGACATCACAGGGATTGTGTCACAATGGGGGCAGCTAGAGATGGCCCCAGCAGGTAACGCTGCCCCAGTCGAGCCTGGACAAGTGGTGAGTGCACACGCAGGGGCGAGGCTGCGCTGGGCGAGGGCCGGGGCCGAAACGCTGCCCCTGGGGCTGGGTTCTCCCTCTGCATCCAGGGCCAATCCCTCACCA